CAAATGCTACCACACTTTCCGGCGCGCTAGATTGCTTGTCTGGAACACTGTGTGCTGGGCGAAATGACAGCTTAGAGCTGCTCACTTGCTGCCGTGCTAGCAAGATAACTGACCTAGGTGGCAGAAGAACGAATGGAGTGTGTCCGCGAGTAATTTCCTATTGAAATCACTGCTAGATTGGCGTTACCCTGTGACCGAGGACTTGAGGATACGTCGCGATCAACAGCGAGAGAGTGTCTCCGAGGCTTTGATACTTTTCACTTTGTAGTCTCAAGTTCCTCTTGAACAACCCCAATAAAGCTGTTGATACTACATCGTAGTTATACTTTCAGTTGTTGAAGACACTAGCTTTATGTCTTGCAGCGCAGCTTGTCGTCGATTTGGTATACACTGTTTTGCTGGCCATCTGTCACTTGAACTTATCTCCGCCCGCCGCGTTTCCCAAGCTGATACTGGAAGCTTCATCAAATAGATGAGAATATAAGGATGCCTTCCGTCCGGGCTTGCTGTCGTCCACATTGAATAATTACAACACGTGTCAAAACCTACATTTAATTGCACTTCCGAAGATCCTCTATTTCTCATGGCCGATTAGTTCCGTTAATTTGCCAGTACCCACTTAGTATTCCCGCATCAGCTTCAACGCATCCGGTCAGTTGCAAACCAACGGCCCCTTCTCTGTAGCTACTACACTGCCTTTAGAGCCAAGGCTACTAATCTCGACAGATAGCTTGCAGCTTCTATGCAAAAGTCAACAGACCTCAAAAAAGGTCTTTATGACTCCAAATTTGACATCATAGTCACTACCCAGAGAATGAGAAATCCAATTCGAGAGATTGGGAAAGTGTCCGCTCTTTCGGGCCCGGGCTGGTGCTGAATCATAGTTTACAATATATTACCCGCATAATTACTTCAGCGCAGTCCAACTACACGCCTTCAACTTAGAACTATGTAGGTATCTTTCGCAATGTGGACGTTGGGCTGGCTGACTCAACGAGATAGGTGAGCTGACTATTAAATTCTGCGCGCCTAAACAGGCTCATCCCTTGGCAGTTGTGTCCCGGAGAAAGTATGTCACGAGAGCATCTCCTATATCGAACCATTAGACAAGGACCACTGAATAGCTAAGTTCTTCATTCCGGAATCAAGGAATTTTCTTAGACTGAATATCTGTAGCGGTGGCATCCGCGATCCCGTTGTGGCATGCTTTACTAGTGAATCTGAGGATTAGTTGGACGCCCAACATAATCTACAACAATGCTTCCCAGCAGCAAACAAGTCTCCCAGGGAAAGACAGATCAAACTTGGGATTAAACATCCGAGCCACCGGTCACAGCCCTGACTATTCGTGGTTCCGCACGCGGCACTTCATCACTTCTCCTAAAAGATTATATTGTCTCATTTCAACTTTTAAAGCGGCGTTTGCAGTGGGTTTTTCAGATTGAAGTTGGCCGCAACATTTCTGCGTATGTCGATGCATACCTACAGTAAATTGGCGTTTTTTCATTTGTGGCGCAGTGTGATGACATCTCGGGCTCAAGTTGTCAATGGTTGAATGAGGCATCGAATCCCGGTTCCTCTGCATTGTACATTACCATATTCATTGAAACTTACTTAAATTCCGAGCCAAACATATCTATTTATTTGAGCAAACAAATTCGTATTGAGTTCCTTCAGGATGACATTGACCCTGGCGCAGCGTATGCTACTACACTCAAGGGGGTACCACTGTGCCTGCAAGGATGTGCACAGCTAAGCATGAATCATTAAGCTGGGATCGAGAACGTGTTGATGTTAGTTGGAATTGGCTCGGTAGGGATTGAATTTATTTGAACAGTCATGTCTAATGGGACTTGCGAGAGTAGAGCGTCTCGCTTGGTTAGGAAACGGGTTACCGCGCCCTCTCTTAGCATGCTTCTTAGCCGCTCCAGCTTTGTGAGATATGCCATGATCCTTCAGGCGCTTCAACGATGAGGAACATATAAAACCCCAGTAGAATCTTAGCTTTTTGATTTTTCTTAGGTGCAATACAATGCACGAGAGATTACAGGTTTCTTCATTGCGTTCATGGGAACGGACACTACATGCCACCGAGCTCAGTAGCCAGTCTGACGACTACAAGGCCCATCATCCATCTTATGACCATTAGTCAAGCATTAAATTTCTTCAGAAGAACTCTTCAACTCTCACAATAGGCTATAGCCCTCCAATCCCAACCGCATCGTACGCGTATGTTCAACTAGCCAGTCCTTGACTGTCATAGCACATCAAGTCATACGTCCGAAATCACGTGCCGGAACCCAAGTTCATCGATAATTTCGATCATTTTCAAACAGAAGTCATAATGGTCCTCCAGTTTTGTGATATCCGGGCCTTAAACTCGGCCGTTACGGGCCTGATCAACCCGAACCCTAATACCGATGCTTTGGCTCGAACGGACTATCTTGCCAGGGTTGTGCAAAAAGTCATGGAACCATTGCGGTTTGCCGATATTTGGAATACGTTGAGTACCTCAATGACTCTTTGACTGCAGCAGATTACCTTTGGCTCCTGTGTTCGCCCGAGGCGAATGAAAGCAAGCCTCCAGTAGAACGAGACTGGTAGATTGTAAAGCCGGCATTAGTTGACTGCGGCGCTGAAATCAGATTGTTCAGCACATTGAGTGAGTTTGGCAGTCGCCTCGAGCTTGTAGGGTATGTGGTCGAGGAAGAGGATGGGAGTATCCCGATTTGCAAGGGTTAATACTTACTCCCCGATACGCCCTCATTTTCAGAGCTCGGCGGCCCGAATAACTTCTCGCCAACGATATATAACCCTGGTATAGAACCTCTTCATATGATAGTGACCGCCACAGGCGCTGTTTCACTCAAGCCAGCTTCAGATACCATACAAAGACGTCTTGAACCACAACACAGTTTCAAGGAAGGTGGACGTATTCCATCGGCTCACATGCTTGAGTAAGCTGCTCAGCAATACGTTTTTTCTATCCAGCCTATGGAGCATAGGAAGTGTCACGCACGAGCTTATGTTCTTGTGATGGGCCGTCTTAAAGTGAATGTCTTGAATGAAATACTTGCACTTCTTGCGGGTGAAGACAGTGAACCGCCCTGGTTGTGCCCAAGGCTCAAGTCCCCTCTTACCAAAAAAGTACTTCAAGAAAAAGATGTTTTTTGTCAATAAACAGTCGATCCGAGACTTTTCGCAGGCTCCAGATGACTGACTCACTGCCTGGGGAATTGGAGGGCCACGTCTTTGATCAGGTCTGCGCCGTTTCTGCGGAGTTGATTCAGGCCGCTGCGCACACAGTGGCGAACGTAAAGTTGATGTGCGTATGTAGCGGGAGCGGGATCTGCTCCGGACGGAAGACGTTACAGGGCCGGTTCAAGGCCTATCCCTCAAAATACCCAATTACATGGACACTACTTCTGTCCTTAGAGCACGTCTTATTGGCGACCTTTTTGTCACCGCAAAAGTCCTTAGTTGTTTATCGAGAGGTTTATTGTTAGCCCGTGGCTGAGGATGCTATCTAAGATCTCGTTCGGTTGAAGATGAGACGGATGCTTACACCGCAGTAGCCGTGCTGGGAACAGCACACGTTCAGAGGGTATTCATCTCTTCAAGCCCACTAAGCTCAGTAGCCCGGATTGCATTGCGTTTTGCGATCTTCATTTGAAATGCAAACGTCCTTTCTATAGACTATGCCGCCACCCGAGTTAGCCAGCTCCACGGATCGGTGCACCAAAAAGCCGCGGTCTCCTACTTTGTTCTACTCACAGTCGGGCTCGTAGCCGCAGTTTCTAAACTTATTACAGCAGCCCTCCTTGCACGGGCTTGTTGAAGCGCACGTTTGGGCTGCTACCCGGAACACCAGCAGAGCGGAGAGAAGTATGTTTGATAGCAACATTATCTTCGTAGTGCGAAGAAGTAGCCTTCTGTGACCTCGAGTCAAACAAGGTACTGTCGGAGTGTTAAAGTCGACGGCGACATGGCTCGACTTCAGGCTACGCCGGAGCCCATAAAGCAGGTGTCTACCTATATTCGTACCTTCATCTTTCTTCTTCTCCTTCTTCAAGATACAGGATCGAGAACCGCGAGGCCGCTTTCACGAGAGTCTTGTCAAGGGACTTTGGTAGTCAGAGCGGCCGACGACCGAATATAACCTCGTAACCCTGGCTCTCTCAAAACCCATCATCCATGTACCTTCATGGGAGGGGGCTGCGTTAGACTGAACTTGAGGCTTAATTTTAGACTACGCCTATTAACTGATCTTCTAGGGCTCTCGTAGGACGACCGCATCTAGATCCGTCGTTAAGGTTCTTATCTTCGACGGGTATATACGGCAAACCGCCCTAACCCCGTTGATATCCATACCAAGTAGCCTATCAGTCCTCATAAATAAGGGTTAATATTCGTACCTGCACATAAAAATAAAGCAGACACCAGCACTAAAGACTCCCGGTTTTTGCACCTACTTAGGCAGGTGTTGAGCGTAGTTCGGTCCACCCTCGCTTAAGCGGCAGATATGGGTATGTAATAGCTGACTACAGCAAGTTACTAAGTAGTCAGGGGCAGGGGATGAGATGTGATAGATCATGGGGATCATTCTATTCCGTCTTTACATTTTTTTTTTTCAATTTCACGGGGACCAAGTCACACTCTGGGCTTTCGCCGTGGACGGTAACTGCATCTCGCTGGTCTTAGTATTGGATATTGGACAACCCACTTCTCGGCCAAGAGGAAATGTAACACCGGCCCGGTTCTTGGCCACCGGCGCATGAGAATTCCAATTTTGCATCCCAAGGATCCAGGTCATTGGCAAGTGACTCAGGTGCTAGATCCTCCACCTCATAGTATGCCAAACAAGACTGAGTACCTCGGTCTTGGAGTGTCCTCGCTCGAGTCTGTCCGCTCGCCCACGTCAGTCTCAACGGCCGACCTCAGTCAGTAGGCATTACCAGCCAGCGAGCGAGACGCAAGTCGTGATTCAAATAACCGTAATAATGGGCTATCTTTCGTTGAAGACGTGTAAACTACTCGCTCCGGCTCTGATCTTGTCTGGATATGGCGTCTTTGCCCGGTCCGGCAGCTTTACGTTTTACGACGCTGAGGACCTCGACGTCACCTATGGCACGGCTTGCATCAACTCGATATCCTCGGCCATCGACTGCCACGAGTACACGCGGACAATGACAACCCTCAGCTACTGGTTTTCTTTGGGTTACGTCTCCTTCACTAACGAGATCTGCACCGCCGATTGCTCTTCATCGCTGTCCACTTGGTACAACTCCGTGGCGAGAGAATGCGTCGGCAAGGAACTCGACGTCTCCGTCCCCAAAAGCTTGGAGGATACCCGTGGGCAGGATTCAGTGAGACCTGCACCAAGGATCCCAAGACCAAGAGCTACTGCAACGGTGAGTTCTGATCCGAGGGAAAGAGAGTCAAGCAGCACCACTTCATGCCAACTTTGCAAGCGGCATGCCCGCTAAAACTCTTCCCGAAACGCAGACATTATCGCCAATTTCACTACAGAGACATGCCGCAGGCAGAGATCTGCTCCACCTGCTCTGCCCATAAAGCATGTAAGGGGGTGCTGGCAAAACTGGAGAATGTAATCATGCTTACCGATGAGGTATTTTATGCTAGAGTAAAAGTCACTTTGCTTCACATAGCGTGATGTAAGAGCCATTGGCTTGTCTGGCCAGCGGCGCTGTTTTCGTCGATGGTCGATCGTCATGATGAAAACTCTTCATCTAGTAGAACATGCTTCCTTTCCTTTAAAACCAGAAAATCTTTACATCCAGTATCCGGATCAAATTTGACCATACATATGACGTAATGACAATAGACTCTCAATCTGATTTCATTCCAACGATTCAGTTGGTGATTTTAACTGGGCTTTGGTATGCCCACATAGGTCTTTTGGGCAACGTTATATTTGATGGACAGGTAAATTTATGCAAAAACACTTTATTTTGAATCAGGAAATGATAGGTCACTGTGTGACTCAAGTCGATAGAAATCTCTAGCGAATTTGGTCGGGTTCGAATGCAACAAAGCCCATTGCACAGACTGGTTGGTCACTTAAATAATCCGTTGGGCTAGCCTCCCGTCCAGTGAGCTTCATACTAAGGTGTGCATGGTAAGAAGATACTTCGGAGAAAAGGCAACGACGCCATGTTTTACGCACAGACACCACCACTCTAGTCGTTGACTGACAGATGATTGAGTCCAAAGCATTCTATCAAAATCCAGTCCCTGGAAACTCAAATATAGACCTGGATGGAGATTCATAACACAGCCCGCTCACCTCACAGCTAGGATAGCTAGGTACCTACGCGGGAGAAAACCCTCTGAAAATATCGGCCCTTCACAGAGGTATTATTAGTGGCCATAGTCAACGGATACTCAGCATGCCACTTTGTAGTGTATATGTTTAATTCGAGCGCTGTACTTTCCTTCCCTTTTTACTTTTTTTTTTTCATTTACTCTCGACTTGTAATCAACACACTTAAACAATACAATAAAGCTGATATTTAAGAATTAAGTTAGACAACTAGATAGTATTTTAAAATATAGAATAACAATAAGCATATGAGTTACATTACGGCCTATTTATTACTACTATTACGGTGTGGGATAGGTCAATTGTGATCTGTGTAATATTTGGATTGCGTTCGGCCGATGTTTAAACACCCAATCTTCCGCTTAGGTACCTTACACCAAGCAAGACCAATGTGAGTACAGGCGAGGCCAGGCATAGCCCATATGGGCCACTGACAGGGCGCGCAAGCTAACCGCTAACCGAGATCGTGGGGACCCCTGCGGCGCTAGGCGTTGCTGGGCTGGGCTGATCCCTCCACCGCTGTTTCCTCCCCACCATCAACACAACAAATGCGCTGCCTGCATTTGGGGCCAATTCAATGCGACACGCGCCTGCTTTGACGACGTCCCCCCTATCCTCCCATCCGAAGGAAGACACAAGACAAAATTCAACTCTGACTCCTTGAAACCATCTTCTCCAAGGAAAATGTCGTCATGGCGACTCTGCCAGCCAACTCTCTACTTGCACGGTCCCGCCAACCACGATCGGGACCGTCAGCCAAGAACTTGAACGCACCCATCAACGCCTCTATTTCCATGAATCCCGCGCCTACCACCAACGCCTCCCTCTTCTTAACCAACCTTCGCTTGCTGGACTTTCCTTCCTATTCAGATTGGCCAGACTTCGATGCCCAGACTTTTTCTGTGCAGAAAAAGCGCATCCATTGCGTAGAATGGACCCTCTACCAGCTCTTTGTGCTCTGGGACCCGGAAGAGGCGCGGAATGTACGTGCGAAGAGCGTTTCTGCTGGGCTCTGCTGACATTTCTTGGCTCACAGAAGCTTCAACCTTTCTTTCCGCCCCGAGACCACGTACAATCCTTGAATTTGCGAGCCGCCCTCCTGCGAAGCCTCGACCAGGCCAAAAAGAATGGAATCCTTGGACGAGACGCTGTGGTCCGCAAGACCATGTTGGATGAGTGCAAAGGGGAGCGATTGGAAGAAGTGCTTGCCGTTTTCTCATCCGCCGTCCTGAAGAAGATGGTGGCCGAAGTCACAGAAGCCGAGCACGAGTACCCAGCTGTCGCCCAGCAAGTGGCGTTGGAAAACCGGGGTTACAGTGCTGACCGGATGGAGCTAATGACTCTTGCGCTTGCTCACAGAGCCTCCATCGCCAACGCCATGCGGCGAAAAGACCAGGCCAGGAAAAAATATCATGACCTTGCTGAAATACTGGACCTGAAGGAGAGACGTATCACGCGGAGGAAGGCAGAGATCAGAGCCGCCCAAGGGCTTTCGAGAGTTCGAGACGTACCTGAAAATATCAAGTTGGACGCATGGAGGACGGTGCGAAATAACTGGGCTGGGAACGAACAATGGATGGAGACTCTTCTCTACGGTGACTCCAACGTGCGGAAGGATGACTTATTGTCGGTCCCATTTGACAGGGTCTGGCGGCGCCTGGAGTCAGGTCGACTACCCGAGTTGGAGAATCACGGTACAGGCCTTTTGGAGCAATTGGATGGCCGAGTAAGAACACAGAAAGAGAGGCTTGCGACATGGCAGGAATTTGAAGCGAAGATGTTTGGTGAACGGGCCAGAGACAATCCGTCCAGTATGTCACAGCCGTCGCAAGCGAAACGTGGCATCGACCTTGGATTCGACACATACGAGAGCTTACATCTTGGAAGGATGGGCCCCAAAAAGCTGGTTGCTAAAAAGAGTACTCCCGTGACAAGGAATTACTCTGATCTCTTGGACGACTACATGACAGAGCTGGCGGAAGTAGGCTCTTCGCCTATGTTTAAGTTCGCTGAAACCTTGGGCCCGCGGAATCGTCAACATGAGAAGCCAGACGGGATTCTGAGGGAAAGCCTTGGAGAGGAAACCATTTCGGAACTCAGCGAACTTGAGGACGATTTGCATGGTTCACACCCCGCACCTCAGCGTCCGTCGCTGCAGGAGGCTGCGTCGCATCCCACACAGTTCGAACGTCCGGCCATCGATCTTTTTTCCCGGACCAACAGTTCTGCTGACCTATCAGCTCCGTTGCCTAGCCCATTGCTACCGCCGCCAGAGTCGCAAGCTGAACTGGCTATACCTCCGCCAACTCCTCCTCTACCGGACGATGACATTACGGAGACAATCCCCAGCCGTGTTGCCAGCCCACCCCTAGAAGAACGAGAGGAAGCAGACGTTGCGTTCGAAAAGGAAGACAGTTCACCAGAATTGCCCAAGTCTCCGACACAGGAGCTGGCGGACCAAATTTTGAAGAACATGGACGTTGTATCGCCCTCGCCTGTCAAGCGTTCCAAGCCTCGTCATACCTTGTCCCTCGCAGAGAGGACGCGGCTGTCAATGACGCGGTCTTCTCGTAGCGTCAGGTACGACCCAGACGACGAGGAAGACGACACGCTCACCCTGCGACCATCTTTCACCAGTGCCAATCGACAAACTGGGGAAGTTACCATTCACGTAACTGATGATGATGACCTGGTTGCTCGCACACGGAAGAGCATGGTTGGCTTCGAGGCTTCCCGCCAGAAAGCACATTTGGATAGACAAAGATCACTGAAGAAACCCCGGCCTCGAGCCCGAACCGAAAGCCAGATCCCCGTAGTTGTGGAGGAGACGATGGAGTTGGACCCTGACGCATCCATACTCGCTGAGGAGCTGATGGCTGTTGAAGACATGGAGGCTGTGTTCAGAAGCCGGCCGAGGATCAAGACAAGCCCGGCCCCCTCCCCTTCAAGAAAACCGCTTGAGGAACCTCTGTAGAAATATTTGACACACAGTGTAACGACGCAACGCACAGAGCTAAAGTGGCTAGTAATAAGTAACCCATCAGGATAAGAAGATCTTTGTGATTTCTGCATATTGTACATCTTGTAGACGTCGTGTGCCACGTCTCCCCCTGGAGTATTGTTACACGCCAGTGGTCGTCCCTACCAGCCTTGGTTCTTCAGCTCCATAACTCTTTTAATTGTTGCCGTGAATCCTGACTTAAACTGATTCCTCCATCTCTCGCTCTTCATCCTCTTGCGCTTTTTCCCCGGGCGCTCATGGAACCTCTGCAATTGGAACGTGCGCTTGACTTTGTTCTTTCTGCAGTTGTACTCGAGCAGCCTGAGGGCCTTGGCCAAATCCACGTGGCCGGTGAGGTGTATGGTTCGGCCCGTGGATGGACGCGTCCGCAGGTTGGGCTCTTGCTTGCTGGTGGGGTAGTGCTTCTTTAGGAATTCGTCCGATTCCATAGCGATGATCTTGGAAATATCGAACGTATCAGAGGTAGCGTCATATACGTATGGGCTATTGGACTTCTCCTGAGAAGCCTGAGGAGCAGCCGCGTCGGAGGGCGGCGGCGGAGGTGGTGGTTGGGCGTAGTTTGTCGGGGATGGCTTTGAGAACAGGTCTTCGAGGTTCGATCGTGGACCAGAGCGAGGGGGTGCAGAGAGAATTGAAGAAGTCGCAAAGGCTCGAGGATGAGTCCATGACGGCTGTCGGAACGCCTGTAATGCTTGTACAGATGGATTGCGAATGGCGCAGGTGGTGAGCAGCCGCTTGCTCAGAAACCCAATTTCCGACGCCCTACGAAGCGTTAGTCATCGAAGCTGGTAGGTTATAAAGGGTGAGCAACTGACATTGTGATTGAGGGAACACAATGCGAAGGTAATGGAACTTGCAAGGTGCTGGCAATTGCACTTGCAATATTTCCTTCCACAGCCCGGTCTTGACGATTCGCGAATTCAACCGATTGGAAGCTTGTTCGGAGAAGAGTGCCTCCGAGACGCCGAGAGCCCCACACTTACAAATGGGCCAATCAAGGAGCTGTCGCGTTGCAAGGCCGATGCGCGTTGGCCTCGCGCCGAATTTTGGAAAGAACTGGATCAGGCCCAGAGAGCCAGAGAGAGATAGAGACAGAGCAAGAGCTTCAATTTTTGGAGCTCACCGTCCCGTCTGCCGCTGCTCTCCCCTCCACCTTCACCTTCCGTCTCCCACTCAGTCGCGCTGTAGCCCCATCTCTTCCTCCGACCACTGGGCGACGAGCTTCGACCACATCATCGACGACCTGTTGATTACCTGCCGCATTTTCCCTCCGCGACTAGAGGCACTTTCGCCAATCGTGGAACCGTGTATTGCCGATCCTACGACCAGCCTCTCATCAATAATTCGGCAGATTTTCCCACCATGTCCTACAATCCTTACGGAGGTGCGTCAATGCTTGATCCTCAAGGGCTCTCTTTCTCACTCACATCTTTGACAGGAAACCCGTACGGGCCGCCTCCGACCTACGGTGGCTTCCCGGGGTCTAACGGCGCCCCCGGCATGGCTCCTCCACCTGGTCTAGGTTCGTGACACAATGCTCTGGTTCTGAGATGCTTCGCTAACCCTCCTCAAGGCCCTCCGCCAGGCATGTCTTCCGCTCCAGGAATGGCACCACCTCCCGGTGTCCAGCAGTCCAACAATGCCCAAGCTAACCGACAAAGCGGCCTGCCGCCTAACTTCCAAGCTCCCGCGAACCTCCCAAATATCAACTTCAGTGCCCCCGTTATCCGTCTCGGTACCATAGGTGGTAAGACAGGCGGCCCCGATGTCGGCAGAAAAGACAACAGTGCTCCGACCGGCGGACGGCAAGGATTGGGTATGGACCGCGGATACGACCAATCCCGCGCTGCCGCACGCGAGCACATGCAGTCTTTGGTCCCGCCGACCAACGAGGAGAAGCTGCGGACATTATTCATTCACAAGATTCCTGACGGTATCAGAGGTGACGAGGGCATTGAAATGATACTCAATTCTGTGGGCAAGCTTCGGAGATGGGACGTCGCTGCTTCGGTCCTTTCTGATGGCAAAGGAGCAAAGTTTGGCTTCGCACAGTACGAGGATGCTGATTCTTTTGCAATCGCTTGCGATCTGCTTCGAGACATCGAGGTTCCCCTTAAGCGACAAGTACCATCCGAGAGTGCACCGCTGGAAGGGGACTCTTTCGACGGAGTGGAAATGGTCAAGCTTCAAGTCACCATCGATCCGAATTCTCTAAAGTTCATTGAATCCTACAAGGAAGGCAGAGGCGACGATGGTGGTGCCGAATCGCGGATAAAGACTGCCAAGGAGACACTGAAGCAAGTCATCCGAGATCTCGTGTACCCCAAGACCGCTAGTGCAGCCGACGGCGAAGGCGATGTTTCAATGGGGAACTCTGGGGATAATGTCGAGGTTGTCAATATCCCTCTGGCTCAGGACGACGAACTTGCAGACATCCCTGCAGAGATGAGAGAAGTTGTCGCCGCCGAGATCGCAGCGTTCAGAGAACGCAGTAATAAAAGAGACCTGGAGCGCCTTAAACGCGAAGAAGAGATGGAAGAGATGGAACGAAACCGCAATGGCCCTTCTCGACCATCGCGGCTAGATTCTCCGCCACCATCCAACTCCAACAATATTCCTGTCGGACCTCGTGGCATGCACACCGCGCCATCGGGCCCCCGGGGGCATAATGGTTCTCGTACAACCTCATTCGTCAACGGAGGTATCTCAAACGCCGATATGTCAATCCACCGCGAAGATGACGATACGGATGCCGACGACGAAGAGAGTTACCAGCGGGAGCTCTCGAAGCAAAAATCAGAAGAAGACAAGATGTATCTCGAGGCGGAGCGAAAGTGGGTGAACAGGGAACGTTCCCGTGCGGCAGCCTTGGAGAGAGAAAAGGAGCGTGAATTGCAGGATGAAGAGACTCTGGAGAGACGCATACAAGAGCAGCTAGAAAGGGAGAAGTCGTGGGATGACGACCGAGAGGCGGTCAGAAAGAACCACTTGTACTACCGTGACCATGCAGGCTGGGTTAAGAAGCGACAGATTGAAAGGGCGGATGAGCAAGCCAGGGATGAGGCAGACCGAAGAGCCGAAGAAGATGGGCGCCGCAGAGAGGCCGCAGACATGGAGAGGGCGCGCGGCATGGCTGACTCCTTCCTTGATCGACAAGCCCAGGAGATGGAGCAACGACAGCAAGCAGCGGCTTCCGCGCCCGCGCCTTTCAAGTTGTCCCTCGGCGCTGCAGCACAGCGCGCACAAGCCCAACGTGTGGCTCCTCAACGACGAACTGTTGCTGAGGTCGAGGGTCTTCTTGACGATGAGGAGCAAGACAGCACGACAAGGAGACAGCTCATCCCCATCCAATTCGAGCCTACGACTGCAGCGGACAAGATGACCGAGGAGGAGATCAGCAAAGCCGTTCGTGCTCTTGCGCAGGAGATTCCGTCGGAGAAGGATGGCCTATGGAACTGGAGTGTGCAGTGGGACTTCTTGGACGACGCCATAATCCGGGACAAGCTTCGGCCATTTGTTGAGAAGAAGATTGTCGAGTATCTTGGCGTACAGGAAGAGATGCTTGTCGAGGTTGTAGAGGAGCATCTTCGGAAGCACGGAAAGCCATCAGAGCTAGTGGAAGAGCTTGCGGCGGTGCGTACACCTATTCCCTCATTTCCCCTTGTTCGGTTACTAATATCCGCCACAGGCATTGGATGACGAGGCAGAGGATATGGTCAAAAAGTTGTGGCGCATGGTCATTTTCTTCACAGAGAGTGAGAAGCGTGGGTATCCAGCATAGGCTAGGCAGCCCCTTTTGTATTATATCGACATTCCGGCGGCAGCACCATGAGCTGCGCTCTTCGAGGATGGTGGAAAAATCATCTCAGCAAAGTGCTGTATCTTGACCACGACTGCGGAAAGAAAAGTGAGCGAGGCCGCAAAGGCTACTACTCCCCCGAGTTCACGGGGATCAGGGAACTCACCACCTTTGCTAGAATATCCGAAGTGGTTAAACCCCCCATGGTCTCTGATCCGATACCTCTGCGTTGTCGAGTGAGATGAAACAGAAGAGGGATGCCATAGGCCATGAATGTACGTGTCGTTTGCCATCAAACTATTGATCCATCGTTAGGCATCTCGCTCCTCTCTTCCATGGAAACCACAGGCACTTCAGTCTCCCATAGAGACCCGAATACACCTAGAACCAGCGCGATACCTCAATACAGCTGCAAATAAGTCATTTCGAGACTTCAACAACCCGAGTCTAGGATCCTTGGCGTCTTACTTCGAAGCTCAATGCGTGAGGCAACGAGAGTAAATGAATTGTAAGGCTGACAGGAAACCCAAGCTCTGGGTATAAATCTTCGCAAGGGTGCTCGATACACGGACTACCCAAGAAGCGAGGAAACCCTCCCATGGCTTGCAACAGAACGAAGTCCCAGACCAGCATGGTGTGACCACGGAAGAATCCTTCGATGCTAAAGTCTGACTGCCAGAAGAAGCCGCCGACTGAACACAAACAGCCGTATGCCACCAGTTGAGCGTTGCGAAACATGACACTACGTTCCGAAGATTTGAGGGCCGCCTCCATGTAGACGCCAGCGAAAGCACTACGGTAACCTGCAATCAGCATGGAGACAATTCCTAATGACGTATCTTTGCCTGCATCGCCGATACGCATGTCGCTGAATGACGGCGGCAGAGACCCGACCTGTACCAATACTATGACACCTGCCATGATGATCAGACAGAGCCATTGGTGAGGGTGCAGAGTCTGTTTCAGGAGGGCTTTGCTGAACATGGGCGTCAGGATGAGCTTGACCTGCGACAGCATCAGATACGGTAGAAAGCCGAGGTGATACGCGCCAAAGCTCTGGCTGGTGGCCGGGAGCGTTTACGGGAAGGCCGGCGATATGGCAGCGCTAGTACGGCCGCTCCGGATGCAGTTTGAAAACCTGGAAGTATTTGCCGAGCCGTCTCCGTCGTCATCCTTGAAAGCCCAAATAGCACTGCCAAGCAAATTGAGTAGCTTTGAGGCTTCGGACAGAACGGCAGCACTTAGAGCTTCGTTCCGCACGGAATTATCTTCTGGGCGGGTCTGCACCTTGTGCTGCAACTGATTGTTGATTATCATCAGTCAGAGTCTGGCTGCCAGAGACCTCACTGCAGACAAGAGACAGAGTATAGCGGCTGGCGTTCAAGTCACTAATATGCTGACGGCATTTCGACACGCGAGCTTTAGGCTTTCTATGAGATTTTGTCAACAGTATTAGGCATCGGGGCATGGAAGCTAACCGCCGTAAGAATGCAGACGGCCTTTGTTCGAGGGCCTCGGCGGCCCGAATCGTTGCCTTGCGTCATGAGGCTATCTGTGTCTTGTTCTATCCAATGACCCCGTGCTGTCTCTCTCCTCAGTTCTGTACGTGGTCCTTTCTCTCTCCCTTTGCTTGGACACTTGCAGAGTTCTTTGGTACCGTGGCCTTTCAGCCAAAGAAAGAAAGAAGGGTGTCAATATGGTGGGAGTTGCCCGCAAATTGAAGTACTTGCCAGCACATAGTATCTAGCCCAGAAACTTTAACGGACGAATAAAGAGACCATACATCGTATTTTTGCCCATCTACATACAAAGCCGCAATGCTAGGAGCATGTTATACAAGGTTGCAATTGTGATTCAACCCTTTAAAGAAAGCTACTGTAACAGAATTCGATCACTCATAGGTTGAGAAACCGTCTATTTCGAATCTCTCCAAGAGTAAAATGACCATAGGGACGGAACATTGGCCGCGAAAGATGTCTCTAGGCAGATGCTAAAAAGGGTGTCCTAACCATAAGAGCGAGAAGACTGAATATAAGCTTCTGAGTCCTGCGTCTTTAAAGGCGAAAAATCCCTGGTCATTTTACTTGAAGTTGACCTGAAAGCAGATGTCTTGGAATCTCTTATTGGAGAAGGGCGACTGTGAAAGCAAACAATGGAACAGATGCAGAGGCCGTTCGCCAGAAAAGGAATCCTGAGATAGCGCTCGGAGCACTCGGCGCCGGTTGCTTTAATAACTTCGTTCCGTCCACTAAAAACTAAGGAGCATAACAGAATCCTTTTGTTTCCGGCCCCACCAGCAACAAATGATTCCATTGTCGTCAAAGCGACGAGATCAGTTGAGTCACCGTCGAACAACCACAGATGATAGGTGGGGCTTAGAACACAGTTTCCAATTTAAAAGTCTCTTTAAGAATGGGGAAGGAGATGTCATGTGAGTGCTGTTATCGCAATCAAGTCAAGGAAACGGTAGCCCTGATAAGCTGTTGGCCTCCGTCTACCCTGGGCTTCTTTTCATTTGCTCTAAACTAATTACCGAAAATCCCCAATGAAATGATACCAAGCTTTTTTAGTCTTACAGAAAGTGAATCACTAGGAATATGGGTCTACCAACCACTACTTGGATCCCCGTAGCTGGCTCTGAAGCTATATTAATGGAATGCTTAGGGCCACAGGTAGTACCTCTAGTTACGAGTTCTCATACTGTCTTTTTCAGCAGCTGCTTAGGGACAAGGAGGGTCGTAGTGAATAGTAGGATCATAAGACACGCAACGGCTGCTGTGGCAGATAGGAACGTAGTTGCAGCTAGTCGAGCTGCCACAGCAGTCGTTGTTACATAGGTCATAAAGCCCGGTGCATCGCTCTACATTTGTTAGCCTTGATTAGGGACGGCTTGATATTGTGGAGGACGTAGATTATTACATACTCTCGATAGCGAAGAGCGCGCCTGTGTCTGCGTTTGAGGTGGATGGCACAGCGGTGGCCAGGGAGAGAAGGCCGAAAATGGCGATCTTCAGCGTAGTATACATCTTGGTGGAGACTGTCTTCCATAGTCAGTAAGGGGTGTTATCTAGATTTTAGTGGAATGGAATCTAGAGGTCTGTGGATTCTAGCATAGCTTTAATCAACATCAACATGAGCGAAAGGCTTACACGGTAACATTTAAAACTTAGCTGCTGAAAGGCTGTGATATGTGGTCGACATACCGTGCAATCTTCACTCTTTTAAACCTTTACTGAGAGGTTCCGCAAGTGCACCCGTGTTTCTTTTTCCGGAGAACCCGGAAACTGCAATACTACTCTTGAGTCTTGGCTAACTAGTTAGATATATATATATATACAGGCTAAGTCGTCAATTGTGGTCAACGGCGTAGGTCGCCTATATAATAAAGTTTTTGGTTCTATATCTATTGTCTATACTTTTATGCGGCGTCCTCCACTATGAAAGCCGCCCATCCGAGGTCTTCGTCGCTCAGCCACAGGATTGATTAAGGGTGCTATTTCTGTGCCTTGTTTCTCCTTTACTTTAGAAGCCCATGTCTTAAGCTTTCCAATGCTTAAGGAGCACGAGAAAGCGTCTAGAGTAGGGTACCGAGACGACCATTTTCTCGTGCGGAGACACTGTTCTCGTCGTAAAAGAACAACAGTGAGGCCGTACGGGGAGGTACACAGGGACAGCGCATCTGCCCGGAGCCCCTGTATTCTTTCGTCCTCGGCTGCCTTCTTTATTAGGACCAGTGCTGATTTCATGTTTTGTACGTTTGAGTGGGGGAGCACGAAGATAACGTGTCTTCCCTTTCTTCCCTTTCTTTCTTCCTTTTTAATTTTTCATTTTCCATTTTTTATTTTCCATTTATTTTCCATTTTTTTTTAAATACGGCTTTAATCGACGCCTCGTCTGGAGAGCTTGGCATTTATACCCCAGTTGAAGCTGACAGAAGCGACATGCAATTGTTCATCAAAATGTCACAAGGAAGTTTGTTAATTTTTGGTAATTATCTGTTCAAAGCTGCATTTTCGAATTTGTGGCTCACTTACTTTATAATTTAAATGTCCTCGACGAAACAGGCACTCAGACAGTTTAAAGCTGTTTCCGCCCTCATTGAGGGTGTAAAGCGCCTCCTTCGGCTGTTGGAAACCATCGACTCCGATTGTTTTACCGAATCTATTTAAAATAACAATATTAGGAATCTGCCCGGGCTTTGCTATGGATCAATCTTGATGGAGACATAGAGAAGTGACCGTGGCTGACGGAGTAGAGGTGACTCCCCTCAGACTGAAATACTATCATTCAGATGTGCCACAGGGAATGTCATGGGGCATGGCTTTGGAGTCTTCTTCACTCAAACTCACAAAAATAAACCAAATTGAGTTGAGTAAATCTTAATCAGGGTTCGTTATCGTCATCCTCAAGCAAACCAGCTGCATTATGGATTGTGTGGGATATGGGGAAGTAGAACATGTCACGATGCCCCCGGAAATGGGGGTGAAACATTTCAGCCCGTTCTTTGGCTGGAAATCCCAGGGCCGTTTCGTTCTCACGATATCATGTGTTTGAATCGTCCAAAGTCAGACAGCGGGCTCGGAAGTTGAAAGTGGCCCGGGGCCGGGCAGATGGCACGTCCAGTGAAATGACCGACCCTAATCAATCGCCTCCTCGCGACGCGATCTGCGCCGACATACACTCATGTTCGGTACCGGAACGGCAATCGGAAAGACCAGCAGAGTTTCAGAAGTCTGGTCAGCTGTGTTGGTGAGTCAGGGAAACATGGGTCCCGACGAGATCCGGCTCCGACTCGCAACAGCCCGAATTGCCACATGCCGCACATGGCTGGTGGAACAAGGAAGAATTCCCGAGCTCAATTCCACGCTACGGATGTTGCTCGCGGAGAGTCTCCACGCGCGGCTGCATCTTGCAAAACAGAAATGCAAAGATCTGTAAGGAGTCTCTGTCGTTGATTTTGAGCCTCTCGAATAGCTTTTGTTGTCGGAAGGGGCAGGTAATGTGGCCTACAATCCACCGGTTTCCGCCGTCCTGCCGGCCGTGTGGGGGCCCGAGAGGTGTCCGAAGTCGCATGGCGGCGATTGCGCAATATGTCGCCATACCTGAGCCCCAGCGCGAACCCCAGCGCCTGGTAAGCCTGGATCCTCTTATCGGCAAATTTTGTTTCCTTGTAAATGGGTTTCCTCTCAAATGCCTACTGACTGACTGGCTGAGAGATGCAAAAGACTGGGCACGATGTCAGGCCTGATTGGCTAATGTTGCGAACTTGCCTTCATTCCCCTTGCATGGGAAACTCGGAGTGCCACACCGGACGCATGGTTGTCCACTGCGGATCCGAAAAGGTTCATCCCAGCTGCATCAGGGTTTGAAGAGCCGATGACACCTTCCTTTTCTTCGATCGGTTGGCTTGCGGCTCTGCGAATCTTTCCTCCACACAACCAATCGATCAGCAATGGCCCGCCAAATGAAGTTGCATAGTAGTGAAGAAACAGAGCGGGTGATTGACGAGAGGTCGCCGCTGTTGTCGAATACTCGACGGGGGTCGAGTTCGTCAGGTGAGAGCTCCTTGACTTCTTCGTCGTCTAGCGGAGACTCGGACGGCCAATTCCTTCCATGGCATCTCACACGGGCCTCAGAAGTCGTCGATTCGAGCGTCGACGTCGAACGAGTAGCACCCGGCGTCGCCGCCGCGGATGATACAAAGCCGCAAGCAAAAGGAACCTCGACTTGGGCAGTCATCAAGATCGTATCGATATTGCTAGTGGGGACTTTTACCGCCAATGCCGATGGTTCCCTGGTCATGGCGACGCATCCGACAATTGCTTCCGAGTTTGACGATCTTGAGAATTCGAGCTGGCTCTTTGTTTCATTTGCACTTGCGGGTGCGGCAACTCAGACTTTGGTTCGTAATCCTTCCGTTGAAGAAACTATCCGATGTGATTAACACCGCAGAAAGTACGGCAAGCTCAGTGACATTTATGGACGTCGCGCCCTTCTCATGGTGGCTTATACCCTGTTTTCCATTGGATGGTAGGCTCAAAACTTGATATCCCCACGAATTACAATTAACTGTTCACAGTGCACTAGTAGGCGTTGGCCACACAATGTGGCAGGTTGTCCTTGGTCGTGTGATTTCAGGATCTGGTGGTTCGGCATTGAACGTTCTTGGCCTTCTCTTGGTTACAGGTAGAGCACAATCGATGACACTCGGGAAAAGACTAGGCTAACATTGTCAGATCTTGTCCCGCTCCGCGACGTGGCTGCTTGGCAAGCAGGTATTAACCTGGCCGCAACAGTAGGACGAAGTCTCGGGGGACCTGTCGGAGGTTGGTTGGCCGACACCATTGGATGGCGATGGTCTTTCCTCGGCCAGGCGCCCATCTTCCTAGTTGCAGTCTTGTTGTGCTGGTTCTTCTTGCCGAGAGGCAAGCAGGTCGGGAAGGGACAGGACGCGGAAGCAAACGGCAAGCCCGTAGACGTCAAGAAGAGCTCCTTGGCGAGGATCGACTTCCTAGGTGCTGCTTTGTTGGCACTCTTTATCCTGACTTTCCTCCTGCCGATTGAGGTTGGAGGCACCAAGATCCCATGGAACCACCCAGTCATATTCATTCTGTTTGGCATAGCAGCTGTCTTTGGTGGTCTCTTTGCCGCCGTCGAGGAGTGGTGGGCCAAGGAGCCAATCTTCCCATTGGAGCTTCTGAAGCATCGCGACATTGTCCTGACGTACGTTATCAGCGGCGGACAGGTCGCAGCCCAACTCGGTCTCATGTTCTCGGTCCCGCTCTATTTCCAGGTGACACAGCGTGTGTCCAACACCGTTGCCGGAATCCATCTCTTCCCCGCTGTTTTTGGAAACGCAATCGGCGGTGTCCTCGCTGGATATCTGATTAGGAGGTGAGTCAAGCTTGAAGACTTGGAGACGTACATATTGCGTGGAGCGGCCTGCTAATTCATGCAGAACTGGACGCTATAAATCTCTGCTAATCATTGCGACAATTGCATCAATGTTCTCCTACGTACTTCTACTATTCCGATGGCACGGGAACACGAATGCTTGGGAGTCGCTTTACATCGTGCCTGGTGGCTTCGGGGCTGGCCTCGTGCAGTCGGCGGGATTCATCAGTATCCAAGCAGCGGTCAACCCCAAGCACAAGGCTGCAGTGACGTCGGGAATGTTCTTAACATTCCAAATCGGCATGATTCTTGGCCTTTCGTGTGTTAGTGCCGTTATGATGGAGACAATGAGATGGCGGCTAGACGCATCGCTGAAGGGCATGGACCTCAGCGAAGTGGTGCGGAAGAAGGTAAGCAGAGACTTGTTCTTCGATGGTTGTTTCGTCAATATAACACCCCGGTGCTGACACGGACTGGGGTAGATTATTGCAAAAGCTACGTCAAGCGTCGACTACATCGATCATGCCGACAGCAAGATTTCAGCAGCCATAGTGCAGGCGTACGTCGAGGGCTTGGGTTTCAGCCACGGCTTCTCGCTCCTCTCATCAGCGCTGGCATTAATCGCGGCGGTTTTTGTAAGGGAGCATAAGTTGTGATGGAAAGCTTCGGCGAGCGCATTGGGGCAGGCCTCTTCGTCGTTACCCGGCTATAGGTTTTTATGTAGAGCAGTGTAGTTTGGCAAGTTTGCGAAGGCAGTGGTGGTGGATTTGGAGGGAATCGCATGTATAGGAGTTTGATAGAAGAGAAGAGACTTGGTTACCAAAGACATCATCATGGAGAGAGAGTCTTGGGTGCCGGCCCTTACGTGAGATGCACCGTCTTCTAAGGAGACACACACTGTGCTGCAACACGGGGCGCCCTTCAAGTGGCCCTTGCGTCAGGTGTTTCCGTTGTCGGTGTGTCTCGGTGAAAGCGTCACCCCATCAAGATGAAGCAACAGCTCCTGCCGCACTAGGTAATAGGGACCTGACGTCTTCTCAGCATAACGGGCTGTTACATCTAGCCGCGCCGTCTGCAATTTCGTTTCTACAACCAAGCGATGCTAAGACTTCACCGTCCGGCCAAGGCACCACGACCGCATCCCCAGTTCTGATAAACCAACATACCTACCTTACTTTACAATTTTAACCCCGCCGTCACTTCATCGCTGTCACTTCGTTGCCACCAATTTGAGCTGCTCCCTGCCATCAACAGCATCGTCATATGAGCCCAACGCAACAGATTCGAGAAGATAAGCCTTCAAATCCTGGGCCGTACTAGCCGTCACCTACCATTATTACCTACGATGCCTCTCACAATGCCTCCTCCTATTACCTTCTCTAGCCAGGATCTGAGGGCTTTGGGGATAACCCCCGACATGCCCATCGCTTTGATAACAGCACGGCTCCGGGAGATTCACAGCCTCACACAGCGCGGTATCCCATTACCAATACCACAAGAGCAGAAGCACCCCTGCCGCAACTGTCTCGACAGCTATCACAAGACGGATAACTGCCCACATCCCTGCGGCCACTGCGGCCAGGACTGGCACACCGTCGACGCCTGCACCAGCTCCAAGCGCAACCGCTGCCGCTGCCGCCCCTTCCCCCAACAGCACCTCACCAAGAAATGCCCCAGTGTGTGTAACCCAGGCGAATGCCCCGCCTTTCACATTGGCGACAAGATCACCGCCATGATATGTAATGCCCGCTGCTGCATGTGTGGTATTCCGGGCCACGCCGGCCGAGATTGTCACCTGAAGAAGTGCCGTTGCGGAGTGGAGCACTTGACTCTGGACCACATGCCAATGGATCGGCAATGCGTCGTGGTCAACTGTCCGCGATGGTTCTGCACCAAGCATTGCCAGGCCTGCGAGGCGGAGCTGAAGAAACTCAACGATGAGGTATGCCAGGGCTGTGGTACAAAGCAGCAAATGCGTCAATCTGTGCCGCGGAAGCATCTGTGGACGAATCCCGATTTCGAGTATGTGGAGGCAGCGTTGGCATGGGGCAACAGCAAGTATGGCAGGGCTATCTTCGGCCAAAGCGTCGCATTCGATAATCGGTCAGTGGAGGAAAACCCGGGATCCAGAGAAGTAGAGAGTGGTTGGCTGGAGGGGAGACGGCTTTAAGTCGTCACGATTTAACATCTTGAGCACTATGCACATATATGGCTACTGCGCTGAATAATCAGAGCGTTCACGCCTCTCGAAATGGGCTTGTAATAAAATAAACTCTTGGTATTACTACCCACCAAGATGTCGAGCTGAAGACCACCTTTGCAAATCCAGGCCCGAGGCAGAATCGGATTGTCGTCTAGAATACAGCATGGATGGTGGATGGTATCACGCGACGAAATCATTCCTCAACTCCCCGCCAAAAGCAGACCCGCCCAGATGCTGTGTACCTAGCAAAACGCCCCCCGTAACAGAAAAAAAAAAAAAATACACTTAATCATCCTCCCAACCGCATCCATCATCATCAACCTCGACTTTGGTGCCAAGAGCCTCCCTTCCTTGGCGAATCATCTCCTTGAGCCTCTGGTTGAAATCGTTAATCCGTGCATCGGTGTCATGTTCGTCTTTGATTCGCCTGGCTGCCAATTTCTTGGCCTCTACGTCCAGTCGAGGGCTTGCACGGATAGAGTCTACTCCAAACTCCTTGAGTTTACCACGGGGTGACGCTGCCGAGGCGCTGCTGTTGGACCGGCGATGCGAGCGTACAGGTGGGCTCATCAATGATTGCGCTGGTGACGGAATGGCACTCTGACGCCGGGCAGACACGGTCGTTTTCGCAAACGGATTCGGGCTCGAGCCAGCGGACTGCAAAGGAAGCGGAATCCGACTCGGTGATGGGCCAGTCAAAGTCCTAGGTGGCTCCGGTGACCGCACACTGGCAAAGCTTGCCGGTTCCTGATACGATAGCGGCGCGGTCTCGTGTGAATTACAGTCGTGGCTAGTAGTAGATTGGCGGCGGTTGTGAATCGGTATCGAGCTGAGACGTGGCTTGGGAACACTAATCCTCCGGCCTGTAACCATGGAAGGGCGCATGTTGCGGGATGCTGGTCGCATTGATGCCCTCGATACTGGCCTATTGCCTGGTGCCGACTCGTCCACCACAACCCAATTTCGCAGCTCGTCGTGGTTCCCAGCACTCGTCTGTCGGCGTTTCACGGCCGGTCGCGAAGGCGTGACCTCGAGCTCGGGCTGGGGGTTCAGAGTTTGGTGTGGCTCCTGGGCATATGATGTAAGGGTAGGTGGAGGGAATACACCGGGCGACGTGGTGTCCCCAATGGAAGTATCCAAGTCTGGGGGACTTTGCTGGTGTCTCCATTCGTTCTTCTCATCAATTTTTTCGGATGGTTCTAGCTGAGGCACAAACACAGGCACAGTCGCAGCAGTAATCGCAGCAGTAGGCGCAGAGGGAGGGAGGCTCTGGCCATCGATAGTGTAAGCCTTGCCGCCTCCAGCGGAGAAGCCTATGAAGGCTCCGGCCTTGCAAAATTCCCAGACCTTGCCTACGACTCCACCAATAGTGTTGAAGGCAAATCGGCTCCAGCCGCCGGCGACTGGATGACTGGGCTGTACCAGTATCGTGGGCTGGCCGGGAATAGGAGATTCCATTTCTTCGTGCGGTCGCTTTGATCCCAGGGCTCTACGGTAGTCGCCGTCCGAGTACATGCTCTCATCCAACGTGCCGTTCTCGAAAGCCGTGTTGATGCCGGCACCTGGTGTCTCGAGCTGGCCAGCCAAGGTGTATCGGGCTCCTCGAATCGGCAAAGGGGTCTCGTGTCTGGGGAGTTCGCTCGAGCTGTCCAAGTTCATGTTGCCATCGTTCCATTCGTTCAGTGGCGTAGCCTCGCGTGAAGCATCGTTGCGGCGTTTCCTCTTTGCCTGGGCCAATGGTCCATTTGCCTCGGAGTGGTAGCTGTTTGCCCTGGCGAAGCAGTAGGAAGAGCCGGCGGAGGGGGATGCGGGTGGTCGGAAGACGCCAGGGTGAACTCCGGCGGGTTGTGCGTCAAAGTAGGTTCCGGGCATGCGGTACTGGGATGTGAAGGCCATGGTGCAGGTCGGTGCGGGCGTCGGGGTCCAGAGCGACAGGTCAAGGGATGCCGGAGGGCTTACGGGTGAGGCAGGGAAAGAGGTGGCGGGAAGCACGGCAAGGGGGCCGACGTGGTGACTGTTGAAGGGTTCGTGAGGTGATTCACAATGTCGCAGAGCCTAGACGAAAGCTCATGGTCGATCCGGAAACTGGGTCCCAGGTTTGGGTCTCGGGTCCCGATTCCGTGACGAGGAGGCGCGTCGTGGTGCGCTGGCTTGTTCGTTGTCCGTCGTGCGACAGGCCGAGCGATTGCTGGCAGCAGGCGAGCGCTGTCAGAATGGGGAAAGAAAAGTGGTGGATGATGAAGCGACGAAGGATCCCCGTGTTGACAAGGCGTGCGTGCTTCGGTACTACGATGGGTTGATGTGTCGGCAGGCAGCTGTGGTCGGCTTGGAGAAGCGCGGCGCGGTCAAGTAATTTTTGGGGGGGTCCAGGGGCAAGGTCGGTTGGGTGACCTGGAAGGTAGGGAGCAAGGAACAGCTGTGGGTAGCCAACAGGCTCGGTCCTGGCGTTCCAGGCTGGAGACAGCTTCGAGTGCCGGCAACAGCTGGTGGAAATGGGATTCCTGATTGGATGTCGCGCCTGTCGGTTCGTTGGTCTAGACCCTGGATGCCTGGGAAAGGGACGGCGCTCAGGGTGACGTCGAATTTGTCACGCGCTACTTTGGAACGCAAGGGCGATATCGTGTGGGTGGTGAAGCCTGGAGAGGGCGCTGCGTGGTGATGTTTTTTCCGTGGCAGCAATTAACGAGTCAAGGTCGATCGATGCAGGCGATAAGAAGGAATGGAAAGAAGAGAGAGAGAGAAGGGGGGAGAGAGGGACACAGCACAATAATTGCTCAGATACAGGACTAGGTGTATCCGCTGCCCGTCCCTAAATCAAAAGTCGGCACTAAAACTCAGACGAGGCGGAGAGAGTTGGGAGGTTGGCGTGGAAGGGTGCTGTGCAGGGGGCTGCTTCTTTTTACTGTGAGTCTGTGGCTGCGTCGTGTCATTCGCTTTTGCCTTTCCGCACCACCCGGTGATGCACCTAGTGTATGCGCATATCAACAGGAAGACGAAGAGGATGACGACCGTCCATTGGCGACGGCGCATGGTTGGTTGCTGGCTGTCAGCCTGCCCCTTTTGTGGCGGCGGGCTGCGTCGCTTGTCTCGATCCT